TCAGGGTCATTACAGATGAATGCGAGAGCAGCTTTTCTGCACAGACGGACCTGACAAAGGAAGGCCAAAAGGAAAGAGTGAAGGCCAAAGAGGGGCTCTTTGCATTTCATCTTAATATTAATCACGGCAGGCAGTGCCGTTTCTGTGACGAAGACAGAAAATCATGTACCCACAGAGTACAATAGAGGAATACATTGGAGTCTGGAGTCTGGAGAAGGAAAACCAGAAAAACGTAGAACTTGAATGCTCTTCTCTAAATCATGATTCAAGAGAAAGAACTGATAGGAAAATGCCATTGTTGGCATCAGTTTCCATGGATACCTACTGAATCCCATTAATGCTTGAGACGTGAAGCTTTGTGAATTAGAATGTTCAAATCCAGGCTTCACATTTATGAGCGGAGGGTCCTTAAACGGTTCAGTTTCTCAGTGCCTCTGTTTCCTCATCTGGGAATTGGGCATAGTAATAGTACATGTATCAGGTGTGTTTAGGAGGATAAAATGACAGCAATACCCATAAGCACTTAGGAAAGTACCTCACTTGAATTTTTTAGGTAAAACTTAATTATTTTAGTATTGTGTCACGTGGGCAGATGGATGCATGTACCATGGTTCATGTGGGGAGGCTGGAGAGCAGCTTTGTGGATTCGTTCTCTCTTTCCACCTTTGTGTGGGTTCTGGGGATCAAAGTTAGATGTCAGGCTTGCATCACCAGGTGGCAGGTGCCTTTGCCTGCTGTGACTTCTGTCCCGAGCTTACTCGTAAATTCTTAATTGTTTTTTTGTTATTATTGGTTTTTTATTTTTATTCACTAAGTTTTTGTTGATGTTGCTATGTTTTGTTTTGTTTTGTTGAGACAGAATATATGTAGCCCGGCTAGCCTCAAACTCACAGAGATCCTCCCTGCTCAGCCTCCAAATGCTGGGATTAAAGGCAAGAGCCATCACACTGAGCTGGAGGTTCCAAGTTCTATCCACTACTCCTGCTAGTGCCCAAGAGTTCTGAGCGTGCTGCTGTACTGAACCTGTGAAACTCTGCTAGAAGAAGCTGCTGTTCTTTCTGGCAAGCCAGATTTTTCATCTGAATGTGATTTCCTCCTGTTCAGACAAAAATGCTATGGCCCCTCAAATCCAGGGCCACTCGGGTGTTCGAAGCGAGTGTTCTACTGTAGCTGAATCCCTAACCCTTACCGGAATGAGCAATCTCACATTTTAGAACTATGTGTTTGGCCCAGCGCATATTTCTTTTTTTTTTTTAATTGCTTTTTTGTTATTTAGCATATGTGAATGCTAGAAATGTGAGCATTTCTCATTTAAAGTAGGTTTCAAGCAGAATCATTAATGTTTGAACAGTACAGAAACATTTACAATCTTTGCTGCCATGCAGGGACCAGAGCATCATGCTTGAGAAAGTACATCTAGAGACACCCTTCTCCCAGAGGACGAGTAAAAACAAACTGTCGGTCATGCGAGGCACACTCCTTTGCCTCTGTTCCATTCTTATCATACCAATCTCCCTTGCAAAATTGAAGCTGTTCATAAATATTTTCCTTCTGAACTGTGGGAAATAAGTTGTGAGTAACGTTGACTCTTTGATAAGGGTTACGTTAGGGGACAGCTTATCATCTGAACAATGAACACAAAAGCAGTTCGTCCTGGGGCCTCTGACAAGAGCCAACAGGGTGCCCACCCTTATTCTCAGGCATTCCAGGGGAGTGAGAGGGATAGCCACCACGAGAAATTTTCAGGGGCTCTTGTTCCCAACCTTCAGAGTGCCATCTCTGGTCATTTTAGAAGAGCGTTTGTTTTGCAAGAACTTAAAGCGTCCCAAGGAACTGTTTCCCCAACCTCAGGCTTGCTGTTTGCTTAATGCAGCCAGATGCACCCTGCTTCTTGACTCACGGTCACATCCCCACAGATCTGACCTCATTTCGTGGACACTATTAAAAGACCATCTTATTATTGAGACTTTCCATTGCATCAAATACTAAGCATTAGCAACATTCCTCTACAGGGAAAGTGATGTCAGGGGAGGGCACGGATTGTGTTGACCTCAGGCACATCATGAGGCTAGGTATGTGGAGATTGCCTAATGGTCGGATGACTAATTACGCCCAATGGTACAGGGGAGAAAGCCCTAGGGACATCGGCTTTCCCAGCTCCTGAAGGATGTGTTTGGCTTCATATGCTTCCATAGATGGAAGTTTTGTCTGTGTTGACTCAGTACCCAGGTGGTGATTTTGTGAAATGCTCAGAAGAGAACATACATACAGAACTGGGGCAGTGATGGGGCTGGAGATGGAATGTGGGAGGATCGAAACAAGAGCTCTTCTCCTTCTCTCTTCTAAGACTGGCCTCATCTCACTTTCACCGTTCCCCACTTTGGAAACCAAAAGGTCCTTGGAGGATGTTGGAAGCAGCAATGGAGAGGCTGCGAGTGATTTCAGAATCAATATATGAAAAGATTATTATATGAAAATTTTCTTTTTAAAAAGTATTTATTTATTTTTATTTTATGTGCATTGGTGTTTTGCCTGCATGTATGTCTGGGTGAGGCATCACAAACTGAGGTTACAGACAGCTGTGAGCTGTCATGTGTGTGCTGGAAATTGAATTCAGGTCCTCTGGAAGAGCAGTCAGTGCTCTTAATCACTGAGCCATCTCTCCAGCCCCTAAAGATTTTTTTTTTAAAATGTTGCAAGAAGTGTGCTTTAAAGAGCAACTATAAGGAGGAAAATTCTAGTCCTAGAGGATTTGAGTCAGTCAGCTTGCTGTTGTGGCAAATACCTGAGACAAACATTTTGAAAAAGGAAGGGCTGATTTTAGTTCACTGTAATCAAAGTTTCAGTCCATGCTCACTTGGTCATGGCTCTTGGGCCTGTGCTGAGGCAGAACATCATGGCAGGCGGTGTGGAAGAACAAAACACCTCAGCTCACGATAGCCAGAAAGCAAAGAGGTCCCTGAAGAAAAGGGATGCACCCTACCAGGTGCAGTTCCCTTCCTGCCACAAGGCACCACCTCCTAAAAGTTCCATCACGGTGGATGACCGAGCCTTTAACATGTGGACCTTAGGCCGGGAAACACTCAAAGTCCTAACTGTTACAGAAATGAAAAACATGTTAAAGCCCAACAATTATGCAAATTAGATAAAGCCAAACTTTTAGTTATGATTTTACTGGATCATATTTTTAAAACCACTAACTGAATTTTAGTTGCTGGGAAAAGTAAAGGCAAAAACCGCACATGATCAGTGAAGGCAAGTTAACTTAGGGCAGATGCACACAAAAGGAGAAACTTCTTTTCCCTGGAAGGACAGACATTGCTAAGCTCTGTCTTTCGGAAGGTTTAAGGTACTGTACAATTCAATAAACCTGTCTTTAGGTTGGGGGAGAATCGTGCATTGTTCTGAAGATTTTTTTTCTACTTAATGTTTCCCATTTCATGTTCTATTATTTTTTTTAAATGGTCATCATATCTGCCATTTCTTTTAAAGGTAATATTTTAAGAGAAATGAAATGAAAAATATCTGATGCTTCTAAACTATTTTCCAAACTATTTTCCTGGGTATGATATACTAACCAACATGTTTTATAAGTTGCCTGAAGATTGTAAAACTAGATACTTGTTTATCTTCTGGGATAGACAGGAAGAAGTAAGAAGCAGAGAGACACGCTACAGGTGCAAACAGATTTTCCAGGAATATGTGGAATGCAGTCCCAATCATATAAAAGGTATGTATGCACACACATAGATGGCACACACACACACACACACACACACACATTCATGAGAAATGACCTACATATAAATACTAGATACCATTGATTGTTAACGGAGGGTAGTTGGAATAGAAACTTTTTTCTCATTCTATGTGTGTGTACCATGGTACATGTTTGGGGATCAGAGGACAGCTTTTGGGAGTCAGCCTTCTCCCTCCACAATGCAGGACCTGGAGACTGGATTCCGGTTGTCAGGCTTGGTGACAGACACGCCTACTCGCAAGATATCTCATTAGCCTCCTTTCGTATGTCAACAGTGAATGGTTACAATTACTGAGGCAGGTAAAGGTGCTTGCTGCCAAACCTGATGACCTGAGTAAGATCCTAGGAACCCAGAGTGGAAGGGAAGAAGGGCTCCTGCCAGTTGCCCTCTGACCTTTATATGAGTGCTGTGGCATTAACACTCCCCACTAACTGATATAAAAAGTAAATTAGTTAAAAAAAAAACAGGTATGTTGGGCTGGAGAGATGGCTCGGCCATTAAAAGCTAGGCCCACAACCAAAAATATAAAAAAGAAGTATGTTATAAAAAAGGCATTGCAACATCCAGAAGCTGTAGAAAGAAAACCCATTTGAATTTGCTTCTGCTCTGATCTTAAATCCCTAACTGGGTAGAAATGTTAAGAGTCTTTCTTCATAATTTATTGTCTTTCAAGATTATGTGTTTAGAGTGTGTGTGTCACAGTGTATGTGTGGAGGTCACAGGGCATTTTTTTGGGGAGCTGGTTCTTTCCTTTTACCTTGTTGAGGCAATGTCTCTCTTTACTTCCACCCACCTTCCTCCATCCTTCTCTTTCCTCTCCTTCCCCCTCCTTCTCCCTCATTCCCTCCCTTCCTTCCTCCATTTCTTTTTTTCTATTGACCAGGATAACCTTGAATTCAAAGGTCCACCTCCTTCAGCCTCCTGAGTGCTGGGATTAACTTTTTCTTTAAACACATTAATTTATTTAGATTGTGTGTGCTGTGTTTCTGTGTGTGTTCTGGCACACACATAGAAGTCAGAGACAACTCGCTCGAGTCAGTTCATTTCTTTTATTGTGGGTTCTGGGGCTCAAGCTCAGGTCACCAGGCTTGCACGGCAAATGCTTTCACCCATTGAGCCATTTCCCTTGTCCCTCATAATTACTCTCCTTAATTTAAAGAATTAGATTTAAGTTCCCTTCTTAAGAGAACTTAATCTCTAGCACCACTGAAGAATTGGTCAGGAGACAAAGTTCAGGCGGTCATATTCCTTTATTACATACATGAAATATAAAAACACATTCACAAAGCAATATATATATATTTCTTGTGAGTCCACAGGACTTCAGGGAAAAATATGCTCTGGATGTGAAGCTAAAGTTTTAGCACTGTGGTTCCTGGTTTGTAAATTCAAGTATAGCAGAAACTGTAAGCGGCGCGGCTATGCCTGGATAAAGAGAGTGAAAGATAGTGAAGAACAGCAACCCGGTGAGCTAATCACATATGCTGTGTTAAGAAACGGGTAAATGCCGTGACCATGTGCTGTTAATAAAAGAAGGGAGAAACTGGTCCAATAGTCATGTTTAAATACTAAACAAAAAATAGAACAAATTCTGTGTTTACAATAATTTTCAAAGTGTGTACAAGTGCCTCAAAAATAAATGAGCTTTCTGACATTTGAAGTCTACTTCCCCTTTATGCAAACATATCTCTACATTTATGGTTTCTCTTTCTTGTTTTAAAGTCTCTCTCTCTCTTTCTCTCTCTCTCTCTCTCTAAGTTTCATTATGGCCAGTATCTTGTGATCTAACCTCTCACCCCAAACTGAGATGTCACACAAATGTTTGTTCTCCTTTTAGGTTGCATCTCTACAGAGTTTCGCTCAGTGTCTAGAGCCCAGTGGCAGTTTCCTTTATCTATAGCTCCTTTGTCCATCTGCAGCGGCAGGGCTTCTGTTTCAGCAGGTCTTCACGCAGCCTCTCTCTTTTCTTCCCGTCAACAGCAGTCTCCAACTTTCACAAACAAGTGGTAGATAAAGTGCTTTACAGAAGGAAATACTATATATACACACAGACATGGCCCATTCACACCCCACACACCCAAGTCCACACACAGCACACAAGACAAGGCTCTTTTAAAGAAACACCTGTCCTGACAGTAGAGTTGGGGGCAGGGGTTCCCTAAAAAAATCTCATTAATTCCTTAAATAGCATCAAACACAAAGTAAATGGCATATCTGAAGCTGGAAGGAGACCCTGTCAGGGATACAGCCCTTATGGATGACTGTAAAATATCACGTCGCTATTAAAATGTCCTCAATAGCTATGGCTTTCGGAACCAGTTCCACTTAAAGCAGGCATCAGCTCAGGGGGGTTCTTTTCTCTTTCTGAAACAAAACTGTTTTCAAACACAGATACAGAACAGATGGGTTAGACAAGGCCTATGCATTGGAACATTTTTTCCCCTACATTTTGGCACTTAAAAAATATTCCAGTTTCATTCTGAGGTCTCTTTTTCATTATACTTGTGTATCTGCGACCAAGAGAAGAGCCATCGTGTGCTTAGCACCTCTGGTGCTACTTGCACTCTCTTTTTAAGATGTGCATAACTCTTCTCCCAAGAGCTGGTTTCCAGTGCTGGACAAAGCTTTTCATATTCACAATCAATTTGCCTGTTCTCACATCCTCATGTCCGGCTACCAGGTACTCCAAACCTGAAAGCACAAAGGAGATACACACATTATACCTACTGTACTTTTTTGTTTGTTTGAGACGGGGTTTTCTCTGCGCTCTCTCTGTAGACCAGGCTGGCCTCGAACTCACAGAGATCTGCCTGCCTCTGCCTCCTAAGTGACAGGATTAAAAGCATGTGCCACCGCCACTGGACAAACATTATTAAAGGAAGGGATGCGACTTTAGCAGTTCCGTACATTCCTGGTTTACATTGTTACATAGGCACAGATAAGATAGAGAATCACGAATAATAAGAGCTGACATCTTGTATATGTCATATATCATGTACACATTCTCTCCTATGACCTTGACGATGACTCATAAAGTAAGTATTAACCTCACTTTTTTTTTTCATATAAATGAGAAACAAAGGCTCAGAAGTTAGGAAGCTTGGTCAGTTTCTCCTAAGCAGCAGAGCCTTGACTGAAACTCAGGGCTGTCTGATTCTTGACCTCTGCGTTGCTCCACCCCAAGTGAGAGAGCAGCGAGGGGTCAATGAGCACCTGGACTGTGCGTGTGTGGTAGCAGCAATTAAGAAGGTTTTACAGGCTGGGCGGTGGTGGCACACCCCCCAGCCCTCCGGAGGCAGAAGCAGGCGGACCTCTGAGTTCCGGGCCAACCTGGCCCACAGCGTGAGTTCCAGGGTAGCCAGGTATACATGGAGGAACCCTGTCTCAAAAACAACAAACAAGCAACTCAAACAAAAAGAGGACTTTGCAAAAGTGAAGCAACTTAGAAAAAGTTAGAAGAGAGCTCTGGGTGACATAAAATGACACGGGTACTCTCTATACAGTTTCTTTGAGAAATGACTATAAGAAGCTTGCTTATGAACAAAATAAAGCAAACAAAGAAAAAAAGAAAAAAAGAACATGGTGTGACCTATCGCATTTAATGCTGCCCTTACTAGTAAAACAAATTTTCAGGCTTAGAGTAAAAACTTCTGGCTAAGAAATGCCAAAAGTGGGGTTGATTGTCTCTTTATAAAGAAAATGATAATATCCACATTGCATATTTGAAATGGTGTCAGTTTTTAAATATTTTTAAATTTATTTTTTATTGATTATTGTTTGTTCACTTTGTATCCCAGCTATAGCCTCCTCCATCATCCCCTCCCAATCCTCTCCCATCATCACGGATAGGGGAAGTCCTCCTTCCCTTCCCTCTGACCCTAGCCTATCAGGTCTCATCAGGACTGGCTGCATTGTCTTCCTCTGTGGCCTGGTAAGGCTGCTCCTCTACCAGAGGGAATGGTGTCAGTTTTGATACTTAGAAGCAATATAAAAGATAGGATTAGAAAAATAATTATGCTTGTAACTTTCAAAGACAAAGAGCTATATACTTTAAATTTTTAATTAAAACACTAGATTTTAAAATTCAAATAAATATCAGTTTAAAATTAGGAGCCACGTATACGGATGCATGCCGGTAATCCTCATTATGGCAGCCACCTGGGACATCATTACAACTGACACCATCACAAATATGCAATGTGGATATTACCATTTTCTTTATAAGGAGACAATCCACCCCTCTGTGCATTTTTTACTCTAAGGCAAGAGGATCCCAAGTCTGGGATCCTGGACAATTTAGCAAGATCACGTCTCAAAGTAAAAAAGGGCTTTAGATACAGCTCAGAGGCAGGGTACTTATCTGGCAATGCACAATGACCTAGGTTCAATACCTGGGAAAACAAACATCCAAGCTATGTGTAGTTTGTATGTTTGTTTCATGTGTATGTATATATATGTCCATCTATATTGCTATTGTCTAACATAGTTTTCTTTTTACAAACACAATGAGCATTGAAAAACATGTATGTATCTTGTTATTGCCTAATGTTTAAATAATAAAGTTCTCTTTTATAAATGCAATAAGCATTTACAAAAAAAAAAAAAAAAACCTCAAAAAACAAAACTTCCAGGTTGGTGAGACGACTCAGTGGTTAAGAGCAGCGGCTGTTCTTACAGCGAACCCTGGTTTGACTCCCAGCACCCACAGGACAGCTCACAACCATTTGTAGTTCCAGGAGACCTGCCACTCTCTGCTGGTCTCTGAATACGGGTTACAGACATGCATGCAGGCAAAACATGAGTACACACAAAATAAAAATAAAGGTTTAAAAATTAAAAAAAAAAGCAACTTGAAGATCAAGATCATTATTTTAAATTACTTTAAACCTATAAGTGAGGCTGAAGAGATGGCTCAGCGGTTAAGAGCAGTGTCTGCAATTCCAAAGGACCTGGGTTCAATTTCCAGCACCCACAGGGCAGCTCACAACCGTCTCATAACTCCTGTTTCAGGGGACCTGACCCCCCTTACACATGCAGACAAAACACCAATGTATGTTTAAAAAGACAACTAAAAATAAACCTATAAATAGAACAGACAGTACAGGAATTTACCGTTGACAGCATCAATATAAAACTAATATAAATGATACTGAATAACCCCCGAAGGCATGGAGCACATCAAGCCATCACACAGTGCCTTCTTTTATATCCTTTAGTAGCACTTCACATTTAAGCTGTCTGTCTTTATGGTTTGATGTCTGCTCCGTTTGAGGGCACAAAGGTTTTATCTATTTAAAAAAAAAAACAAAGAAGTATACTCTGGTGCTAGTGTTGGTATTCAAAGATCTGTGACTGATGAGATGAGTCACAGAGAATGAGGTTGGCATGGATGCGGATGGCCAGCAGGCTGTGCCTTTCCTTTTTTCTTTTCTTTTTGTCTTTTTTCTGTTTCTTTCTTTCTCTTTTTCTCTCTTGCTTTTTTTCTTTCTTGTTTGTTTTTGAGACAAGGTCTCTCTGTGTAGCCTTGGCTGTCCTGGAACTCACTCTGTAGACCAGGCTGGCCTCCAACTCAGACATCCTCCTGCCTTTGACTCCCAGAGTGCTGGGATTAATGGCCTCTATCACCACAGCCCAGTTTAGACGGCTCCTTTTCAAAGGCAGCTTGGTAGACAATTTGAAGCACAAGGTTTCAGAGTCTTATCAGTCTTCTTTTTTAGTCATTGAAATTGTAAAAATGGAAAAACAAAAGCAAAGTGAAACAGTGTCTGGTTTTGCTTTGGCAGCTTCCAGATTTTTCTTCAAAGCAAGTAAACATGTTTTCAAGAATTCTTTGAATAATTGCACTTATGTTTTCAATTGTGATGAACTCAGTTGGTTCTTTGACTCTGGCACAGACCTGAGTAGGAAATATAGCTCACTTCCTGGAGGGTGGCTCAGAATGTCAAAGCTTTTGTTTTTAATGTCATTCTGCAAAACTGGACAGACTTTTTTTCTTTTTGCCAAGATAACAGAAGTTTGCTCATGAGAGGAGTCCTTAAGCACAGATCATTGGGTAAAAGAATTTAAATGAACGACTTTTTGTTTCTTGTACTCAAAACTCCAAGTTTCTTATTTATTCTTCAGATTTATTCTTTGGAACTATTTATTTTAATAATTAAAGAAGTGTCCCTTCTGCCTTATTGAAGTGTAAATGAAATTAAGTAAAATATTGAGGGATGAAAGAGAGTATAAAAAATTACTTAATTGGAGAAAATATTTTTCTAAAATCAGTTTAACTTTTAGATTAAGGTATTTCATTTGTAGTTTTCCTCTGCTATCTGTTTCTTTCAGCTTGTTAATTTTTAAGAGCTCATATCAACATAACTTGGTTTCTTGCCTCCTAAAGGGGAATAAATTAGATGCAGAATGTAAATTGTGCACCTGTTGCAGCAGTGTCCTCCAGCACACACGATGACTTGACTTCATAAACAGGAAATCATGAAATACAGGAGCAGCAAGGAAGGCCTCTTAGAAGTACCTGTTTCTCTGGAACTTATTATCTGAGCATTACGGTAATGTTATTTGCGTGCCGGAGGGGCGTTGGAGATACTACGAGCAGAGATCTAAATCCTGTTTTCAAATTTAGCTCGCAGGGCAGAGAGGACACAGTATGCGAGGTGGAGATTTACTCGTAGAGAACGGTTTTTGCCATAATTAGGAGAGTTGCTACACCTCCTGATGGAAGGTTGTGACGGAGAGCCCTACCTCAGCTGGCCTACACTCAGAGCACCGCGGCCAGAGGGCTGTGTTTATAGGACACGGAAGCCTGGACTCCCGAGGGGTCTTAGGAACTCAGCCCTGCGCTGTCACCACCATCTCTGCCTTATATTTTTAAGGTTCAAATCAAATCTTGCGCTGTTCCAAGTTTCTCTAAGATTGTATTTAAATTATTTCCCCTGCTGGTTCTCATTTCAAACCAGAACGATCACTTAATGAAAAACAACACGATGCAAACTGGAGAGTTGTTTTCCATCCAGGAGAAACAGATGCTTCTCATGCAATGGTAGCCCGCTTTCAGTGTTGTTTGCACAGATGGGCTTTTGCATTGGCGCTGCCTTTGGGAACCGGTTCTCATGCAACAGGACCTAGCTTTCAAATAACGCGCTGGGGTAGATCGGCTCACCAAAGCACGGTCAGTGCAACGGGCACCTGGGGCCAATCTGAGGGTTTGCTTTCAGAACAGCAAGTATTATATGGCAGGATTTTAAAATATTTTATTTTTATAGAGCACATGGAGGAGATTTTTTTTTTTTTTTAAATGTCAGTTCAAAGAATATCCTTTTGGATTTTACCCAGTATTCGGACGGTTAGAGGAGATACGCTCTTCATGGAGTTCTGGTTCAGAGGGTATAAGACAGACAGCCAGTGTGCACAGACAAGGTTCACAAGCGTAATTCATTAAGTCTAGCTAACGCTCACCTGGATTGAGGATTGGACAGGTGCAGCCGCGGTTAGTCCAGGACTCGGGATAGAGTGTTCTCTTGCCTCGTAAGATCTTCAGTTTGGTAGACTGTAAGACCTTTTTAATCTTCACATTGACTTCAGCGTGTGAGCCTTTATCGTGAGCCGATAAAATCTTGATTTTTAACACTGTAACAACACAATTCCAAAAGTAAAAAACAAAACCCAGATACTATGTTTTCTTTTGAAATTTGAGCTACTTGAATAGTCATTCCCAAGTATGTTGAAAAGGTGAACTGATGAAAATCAGAATATGGAAACCTGCTTGAAAGATCATTCACGTTTGCAATGACTTAAACTCATTTATGTTTAATTTTCTTTTTATTGGGAAATTTCAACTTTTGTCCCCTCTCCAACTATGACACTAAAGAAATGTTAACCATTGCCTACTTCATCTGTAATTTTAAGTATATTCAGTTGAATCAGGCATGGCGGTGCACATCTCAATCCCAGTACTTGGGAGGCAGAGGCAGGTGGCTTTCTGAGTTCAAGGCCAGCTTGGTCTACAGAGTGAGTTCTAGGAGAGCCAGAGTCACAGAGAAACCTGTTTCAAAAGACAGAAAACAAACAAACAAACCAAAGCAAAGCAAAAAAGAACATTGATATATCAAAGCTACAGAGAAAGAATAAGTAGGAAGTAGAGCTATTGTCCTGGTTCTTATTTATATACGGATTTTATTATACTTCTGTGGTTGACTGTGTGTGATGTTATGTCAGAGAACAAAATGATTTGGTAGAGTATATTTTACATCATTCTACAGAGGTTACATGATATTATTGATTTTTTACTGTTCTTGGGAGTACAATCTAAGCTGACGAGGTGAGGTAAATTGTCCTCCTACATGATAAAAGGACTGAAGTGTTCTTTTTATTTGATTTATTTTAAGATGTATTTATTTTTATTTTATGTGTATGAGTGTCTGCCTGCATGTATGTATGTGCGACACATGTGTGCCTGTGCCCATGGAGGCCAGCTGTGAGCTACTATGATCATACTGGAAATTGAACCCTGGTCCTCCGTAAGACTAGCAAGTGCTCTTAAGCGCTGAGCCATATCTCCAGACCCTTTCAAAAATTTTTAATAATTGAAAAAAATATTTCCAAATAGACATATAGGAATTGTACATGCTTCTGAAATCCTATGTGACATGTTAACATGTAGGCTGTAGTTCAAGCCCTCACCATCCTCCTGCAGTGGAAACACGTACAGTCGTTCCCTCTCTCTCTTTCTGCGGTATACAGTGTACTGCACTGATTACAGACCTCGCTGTTCTGCTTGACTTATGATTCCATTATGCCCTTCTGTCTCTGGATGGAAATTAGGTAATGAAGCATGTTGGGAAGAAAAGAATGTAGACCTAAGGAACACTAGTTTTCTTCATCATAAAGAGAATTTACAGACTTTGATAGGAGATTGTGTGTAATGGGAGAACCCGAGTTTAGCTGAGCCCGTATCCCGAGAATACCATGTCAGACAGATGTCTTCACTGAAGCATCGTAGATTAGCCTTATAGGGGATCTTGAGAATGAATCTAGTCTTACAAGCTTTTAAGAAATTAAGTGAAAGAAGTTTACACAGCTAGTTGCTTTGCATTTAGAGTGTGGACTAAGCCCGTGGTGAAATGAAGATGTGTGTGTGCAAGGAGTACACGGCAGGAAGCAAGCAGTATGATTACTCTGTTAGCCTATAAGCTCAAAGGCAGCGGGGAACCTGGCTCCATCACTGCTGTTATCTACTGAGTACTTGAAGAAGGAATAAACAAACAAACAAACAAACAAACAATCAAAAAATCAAGTGGATTTTCCTCTATAGTGCCAGAGGATAAAGCTAGAGAAACCAATATTTTTTTTCCTAACCTTGTACTTATAGCACACTTAGCAAGACCTAAGGTACCTCATCACCCCCTTAACAATGTTTAAATTTTCTTAAATAGAAAGCTAATAGTTGATTGCTTATTTGTCAAAGAGCTTCCCAGTCTAGGCAATAAGACCAGTTGACATATTCACTGGACTGACTGTTTCTGGACAGAATTGCCATGTTTCTTGCTTTCAGTAGTAACTTCATTCCCTTTAAACTCCTTTTCCTTTACTAGACACTATATTTTCTAAGTTTTTCTTCTATTGGTCAAATTGGGAAGATAAAGAAGTATGCTTGTAATTTTGGATTATATATATACACACATATATACATACATATATGTGTATATATAGCACTGACTATTTAATTCTTATAAGACTAAAAAAATATTATAAAGAATAGAAATGCTGGCAGGCTTGGTGGTTCCCAGCACATGAGAGACAAAAGCAGGCAGATCTTTTCCACTTGGAGGCCAGCATGATAGCAAGTTTCAGGCCAGCCAAACAGACAAACAAACGACTAAATGAAAATCAAGAATGAAAGTACTCTGCTTGGTTTTGTGAATCAAGACTGAAAAAGTTTCTCTTTATTTGAATGTATATTTTTCAGCCATGGAAACTGTGGGGCAGTTAAAAAGGCTCAGACAGTGGTCAAGGATGTGTTGTCAAGATAAGGTATCCTCACAAATTTCCTAGTAAATAGATAACCATTGAGAATATGAAGATAGTAAGAGTCATTATTTATAGAAACACTCTTTTCCTTTTCTCATATGTGTGTATATATGTACACACATATGTATGTGTATTGATATCACTACCGGTGTATGTATCGGTACATGTGTAATTATTGGTATTTGAATGGTAGAATACTTAGAGATATTGGGAAACAGACCTAGGTTTATTTGAGTCACCAATCTTCTTTTTTTTTTTTTTTTGAGACAGGTTTTCTGGAACTCTGGCTGTCCTGGAACTCAGTCTGTAGACCAGGCTGGCCTCGAACTCAGAGATCCACCTGCCACTGCCTCCCAACTGCTGGGATTAAAGGAATGCACCTAGTTGAATCACTAATTTCAATACCTTCAATACCTCACAAACAACCTTCTCACCATTTCTCAAGCATCTAATAGGCTATGGAATCTCATCAGCCAGGCCTCTAGTTTCCTTACAAACCTCTGTACTTAGCTTGAATAGGGTGCACACAGCATCAAGGATTCAGACTCACCATATGAATACTTCATTCCACAGAACGCCTTGGGGTTTCCTAACACTTGTTCCTTACATTCACATTTACCTATATGAAAGTAAATAGAAACTTGTGTTATGGGCAGGTGGGAGGGGGTTCAGAAGAAAAATCCAGGCAACACACTTTACTCCTTCATTGATTCATGTAACATGTGTTAAGTATTAAGCAGTCATGAAAACAATTTGAAAGAAGTAAAGCCTCTTTCTAAATGGGATTAACTATCATCTAGTAAAATATCAACTTAAGAAAGTATGGAAGATAAAATCAACATCAGATTCCAGCGTACAAACTGATGCTGTGATGATTGGAGTCCAGTGTCAATACTCCATGTTAATAAAAAGGAGCAGCTAAAAGTGTAAACCTATAGAAAATAAATAAGCATAGTAAGTATCCAATAAATTATGCCAATGACAAGCAAATAAAGGACTTGGTAGTGCGTTGAAGGTAAATGGATACCATCCGAAGTGCTAGGCACGGTAAGATATCATTCAGAACACCTAAGTGTGAGCAAGATACAATTCTTGCCCAAGGCTTGCAATTGGGTAAGTAAAAAATAGTCTATAATAGAAATGCTTAGATGCGAGGGTCCCATATTTGGGAAGATGAGAAAAGCCCTCAAGGCTGAAGAAAGATGTAGAATCGTCTTTTACGAAAAGATAGGGTAGTTTCTGCCAAGAGTTGGAATCATCTGCTAGAACTGTTGCATGTGAAGAGAATCGCCAGGCCCCATTCGAGACTTTCCAAACACCTCTGAACAAAAATGAGCCTCATGAAAATCAAGTCCTCAGTTAACAGAGGACTGTGGTATCACTATGAGAAATGAGAGTGTTAAGTAAGATTTAACTGAACAATATTAAATAAATAGGAACATTTCAGGGCTTTAGAGTTTTAAAGGCGCTAGTAGCAATCGCCTATAGTCTGGTGCTTTGAAGGACCTAGAGTAGCAGCTCTTGGAAGGGAGAAGCAGCCAAGATCAGAACTCAGTATGGGCAGGAATTAGTGAGACACCAGACAGCCAGATAGCGGAGCCATGCGCTTTGTCATGGGCAGACTTCTGTAAGACTATAGTGAGCGAGGAACGGTGGCTCCTTCTAGAAAAACTGAGTGGCACTAACCCGGAAGTATCAGGGAAGAGGGAAAACTGGATCTGGCCAGACTAAAATGACAACAGTTTAGGAAAAGGAGGATACAGTAAATCAGAGAATGCTGGCAGAACATCTGGGAAGAAAAGCCAATCCAGCAAGGGTGGTGTGGGAAACTCTGGCATATCAGCTACAGCAAGCCATGCTACAGAAAAGGAGAGTAACATTTACAAGTGGAAAATCCCAAGCAGAATTAAGTAGTGGGGAACAGAAGTTACAGGAGCTTAAAGCCAGCTGTTAAGATTTGCTTACAATGTGCGCACAGCAATGAACCTCATTCAGAAGTTGCAGTCAGTGAACTGCCCACGGCTTTTGAAAACTGCGCAGAAGCAGGCGTGTGCTCGCTGCCATTCTGCCATAAAACCTAACGGAACAACGAGTGACTGGCTTACACCGCTCCCACCACAAAGCTCTCTTGTCAGGGCTTTCGGGAGCGCTCACAAGTCTGTCATTTGAAAGTTTGCTTTTGGCTGCCTGACAATGCCCTTTTTCACATGCTTAGAGTTTAAGCATGTTAATGCGTTGGTCAGGCTGGGTTCTGTGGGGGTACTCAGGTTGTCTCAGCTACTCAGAAGGCTGAGCCCAACAAACTCTTTGAGCCCAGGAGTTCACGCCCTGCCTGGGCAGACCATGAGAGCCGATCTCAGAGAATAATATTTTTCATTTGTAAGGACTTAAGAAATCTGGAGATGGAAAAAGCCTGTTTGGTTACAAAAGGTCGCTAGAACATTTTGAGAAATGAACATTTGCTCACAGTTCTTTGGTACTAGTTAACACTAGGTCTATCTTTCAGGAGGTCAGAGTTCACATCTGGTATTTTCTACCTCCTAAGTGGTGGAAGGGACAAATGAGAGGGCTAGAAATGAGCTCAGTGGTGGGTCATGCTGCCTAGCATGTATGTGGCTCAGGGCTTCGTCTCTGGCACTGAGAAAGAAAGGGGAAAGAAGAAGGAAGTTGGGGAGGAAAGGAGAAAAGAGAGAGAGAGAGAGAAAGAAATTAAGTTTACTTTGTGACAGACACCAATTTCTGTTGGCATACTGCCTTCTAGTTGTAGTTGAAAGCTTTTTGTGGTGTCTACAGTAGATGGACAGACAGGTAGGCAGCTAGGTTTGAGGACGAATGGGCTTGTAAGGGCTTAGGAAACTGGCTGTCAGCTTTTGTCAAAGGTTCCCAGGAGCACTGAGCTATACCCAAAGGGAATGCAGAGGCTGAGCAATCTTCCTCCCTTAGGGCCTCATCCAGATGGACCCCAGGGGCTCCCTGGGGATAGTCTGGGCCTAAGAGCTGTGAGGACACTTGACGTGCTCACTGGGCCCTCTGCCAGCTCCCTAATAATACGCACAATGGGCTTGGTGGATGTCCCCTAGATTGGTCCAGCAGGCAGTTACAGATTAGAAGTCACTGTTGTAACAATGTAGAAGATAGCTTTTAAGAATGGCTACTGAAGTGACAAAATGTGGACTACATCACATTAAAGCCAAAAAAATGATAAATATTTGTCTTCTTTCCCAAATGCTTAAGCCAAGCATGGGGCACACCTGTAATTACAGCACTTGGGCGGCAGAGACCGGCCAGCCTGGCCTATACAATTAGACTTTGTCTCAAACAGAAATAAATAGATTAAGACAACATATTACTTTAGATTACCTACCTTCTTCTAGTACAAGTTAGAATGAGAACATTAGGAAAATTATTCTATGTTTAATCAGAATAAACAGAATTACAAATACCACTGCCTCTCAAATTTGGATTCATAAATCTTGTTGTCGTTGTTGAGACAGTATATGTAGACCTAGCTATCCTGGAATTTGTTATGTACACTAGGCTGGCCTTGAACTCACAGAGATCCTCCATGCCTCTATCTCCCAAATGTTGTGGGGTTAAAGGCTCAATTTCCATGTCTGGCTTGATTCTTTAATCTTTTTTTGTTGTTTTTTTTGTTTTGTTTTGTTTTGCTTTTTTTTTTTGAGACAGAGTTTCTCTGTGTAGCCTTGGCTGTCGTGGACTTGCTTTGTAGACTAGGCTGGGCTTGAACTCACAGAGATCCACCTGCCTCTGACTCCCTGAGTGCTGGGATTACAGGCTTGTACCACTGTGCCCCGCTTGAATCTTTAAAAATAACTAAATAAACCTTATTATAGAAAAAACAAACCATTGCAAAAAAAAATCACACCCCAAATTTTTTGGTTATAGGTTTCATATGAAAATGTTAAAGCAATGGCTCCTTCATTATCTAGAATGTAGATTGAATTAAATGAGAACTCTAAAATTCTCTGTACATCTGAAAATAATAAAATGTTGGCAAAAATATTATTAGCCAAGCAATACAGTTTTGTAATTTATACTCAAATTTATTTGTTTATCATTTGTGTGTATGTATGGGTCTATTTTAGGGCGTACGTGTATATGTGTGTGGTAGAGGCTAGAGTCAGTGTCAAACGTCTTCTTTAATTGTATTTATTTTTTGAGACAGAGTTCCTCTCACTTGGAGCTTGCTGATCATAGCTAGATTGCCTGGACAGCAAGCCCCAGGCATTGTGATGTTTATGTTTGCCCTTTTTTCCCTTCCCCCAAATGCTGGGATTACAGTCCTGTGCCATGGTAGATTGTTGTTTTAATGCTTGTGCTGGGAAATTGCTGTGGGACTGTTTCCTCTTAGTTTGAAACAATGGATCCTGCAGGGAAGCTCCCTCAGGAGGAAGGTACACAACTCAAAACAGCTTCAGGAAGTCCCTGAAACTGACCAGATTCATTTAGGCCATTCCTGCCAGATTAAGCCTAGAACCTGAGTGCTCCTGAGATGGAGAAGCTGCTGCCGCAAGGCCCAGGAGACTTGTAGATGAGCAGAGCTGTGCCACAAGGGCTCTCAGAGGAGAAAAAGTACAGAAAACTGAGGTCAGACCAGCTGCCCGGAAGAAGCAGAAACCGGCTGAGCTGTGGTTAGACCTACCTAGGAAAGGGGACTCTCCAACCTGCTGAGCTGCCTGCTGGCTGTGCAGTGTACCCCAGGCTTTCCAGCCTTTGTGAGCCGCCACCCACGCCGTGGTGGGCATGGCTGATGCAGCTGTCTTTGAGTCATTTCCACCTCTGTCAGTAACCCATCATCCACCTTCCTCTAAGGAACCCCAGCAGCACTCACTAGGTCACGAGGGTGGGCTTTGGTGGTATCTGTTCTTTGGTCTGTCTGGGTTTCCTATCTGGGGTGAACAGACATGTGTGTTGTGTCTCCTCAGGAAAAGCTTTGTCACAGCAGAGATCAAAGTCGGGTCCCCACGCTTGCTGGGAAAGCATTTTCTTGGCTGAGCCACGTCCTCAGTCCCATGGTAGGTTTCAACACACAGCCATGTTAGGACAAGAAGAAAATAAAAGAAATGCGGTCTACACATCCAAGCCATATAACAACCTCCTGTGGTTTAGAAACTACAGAGTGTGTAGAGAGTTGCAGGGTTGGGGGTGGGAGCAAAGAGTCCAGAGGTTCATCAGAAATCACAGATCCTTCGGTTCTGTTTTCAGACTCAAGTAGCCGTGGTCAGACCTATGGGGTAAAAGGAACTAAGGAGGCTCTTTTAAAAGACACAGAGCGGCTTGGGTTCTCCTTGATGATGAAAAGAGGTTTGAAAAATAAACTGTAGCCGTGGTCTTTTAGTTTATCATTTGTAAAACAGATAGGTGGGCAGCACCAGGGGAGCTTTAAATTTTTTACTGTGACATTCTACGTTTTTCATGAAATATATATAATTATACTATATAAACATACTTACTTATATAATATATACCTAAATTTATATATGAACTATACAACATATAAAATTATTTATCATACATAAAAATTCGTATATAATATAGAAATATATTAAATATATAAATGTATTTATTTTTATATATTTTATTACATATTGTTATATAAAGTCAGAAAAAAAAATGTAAGTTCATTAAAAGACCCCTCAGCTGTATTTCACATTCACACTTATGAGGACAGGTCATTTTGTTATTAAACCTCAGAACTAAAGAATGCCCCTCAGAGGACTCAAAGACTCAAGGCCAGACTTGGAAATGCGGTGCGGACCTATCTGTCTCACCTGAGTGTCGAAGTGCAGAAAATCCTTGTTCGTCCTCCCACTCCCAGGCTGCTTCACTCTTATTGTGCAGAGAATGAAAGGCGGGGACTTCGTGGTACCAATCTACGTCAGCACTACTGAGACAGAAAACGGTGGCAAACTTAAGAGATGTTTCAGAAACAAACCTTGTTTTACAGACTCAAACCTTCCTGTTTTCCTTCCCTTACTTCCGCTTTGGCCAGGGCTGTCTTAAGAGATTCCCGTGCAGAATAATTCATTTTGCAAAATGAACTAGGTAACGTCCCAGAAATCACAAGAACAACAAGTTTTTGATTCTTCAAACCGAAAAAAAAAAAAAAATTATTCTTGTTGTTGTTTAAAGAGATGTGCGCTATGTGAGCTCCCCTGTCCAGCAGGAAAGCTTGAGGCGCTCACCTGCTGATGCAGTCCCCCGTGAGCGGGTCGCAGCTCCCTGCGCAGTCGCAAGGCCTGCAGCCGTAGTCGCCAAAGCCCCAGTAGCCCACCAGGCACCTGTCACAGTGCGGCCCTGCCACGCCAGGCTTGCAGGGGCAGTCGCCATTGCTCGGGTCACAGAAGGTCACGGAGCTGAACGGAAGGATGGCCGATCCAGCTGGATGGCAGGAACAAGCTACGACAGAGGACACAGAGGACCCATGAGTGACTGTACATCACCGGCGTGGAGCTTATGCCCGGCAAATGGCGGGGCCTCATCCAACGGAGCGTTTCTGGGACTTCTCCTGTAGCTGTCGTGTGCTCGGAGAATGAAAGTTCATTAAACTGCAGATAAGCAAGATATAATTAGAAAGCATGTCTGTTGCAAAAAGAAACATGTAATTTACTCTGAAGTTGAGAGCACTGAATATGGACACCTTTTGGTTGAGGTGACCAGGATGGAACCGTGAGGAAGGCAGAGAAGGTACAGTTGATGAGAAATGTCACCAGAAGAAGATGTTCCGGAGCAGCGGTTCGCAGCCTTCCTAACACGGTGAACCTTTGATACAGTTCCTCATGTTGCGGTGATCCCCAGCCATAAAATTACTTTATTGCTACTTCACAACTGTAACTTTGCAACGTTATGCATCGTAATGTAAATCTCTGTGTTTTCTGATGGTCTTAGGCAACACCCATGAAAGGGTTATTTGACCCCTGAAGGCATCAAGACCCACAGGTTGAGAACGGCTGTTCTAAGTAAAGCAGGCTTTAAGGAAGAGGAAGATGGCAACTGTCTAACGGCTAGTGCAGAGAAGATGAAGAAAGAGAATGGATTGTCGCATTGAACAACTTGAAAGCCTTCATAGGAAAAAATTCAGTGGTGCATGGGGAATGGAATTAAAGAGAACTCCAGAGAGAATTCAATGACGGGGCCTGATTGCTCTTTTCAAAGCTAAAATTGTCTGGGGATGTGAAACTGAGTGAGGATTTGGATGTGTGTGTGTGTGTGCATGTGTGTGTCAACATGAAATTTGCTTATTTGGTTCATTATAATCATAAACCATGACCTCAGTTAGGTCCAATAACTGATGGACCTATTCAGTTTCTTCAGTTTTACCTAGCTCAAAGACCAAACACTCCTCACAGTGGCCATGGTAGAACTTCCCTGGGCTCTTCAGTTCACGCTACCCTCTGATGTATTGACAAACTTGTCTGGAGAATCCCTCCGCCTCGGACGGACTCTTTTCTTCCTCTCCTTTCCACTCCCCGCTCCAAGTCAAAGGAGAAAAGGTGGGAGAGATCATGCTTCCTCAGCCTTGTGATTTGGAGGAGGAAACTTAGCTTTCCTGAATCTTGGCTTCTTCACTATGCTGTCTGCTTCTTCTGAAAATTGAAGTTATCCCAGGTGAACTCCTTCAGCAAGTCGTGTAACACACGGCCTGCTACTACCCAGGCTATATTTTCTGTCATGACCTGTCACCTAAATTTCTAGATCCTACTTTCTCCTTTTTCCCTTTCAGAGCTTTAAATATTAGTTATCTTGACATTCAAATTTCCATTAGTGTGAAGTGTGAAATGTAGTTTATTCATAGTAATTAATCAAGCCACAGACTTTCTTATAGCTGTGTAGGATCTCTGGATGAGAAGTGGACATAAGGGAACTCACAGGCTTGTAATGAAAACAGAGTAGTGAATAAAAGTCCCGTACAGTGTGATGTCCTGGAGGTCTGCGTAGGAGCACAGCAAAGAGGAAGGCAACAGAGCCGGAGATAACCCCACACAGCTCACAGAGGTGTGACCCTCAGGTCTGTGCACTGGGTCTACAAGAGGGAGAGAGTGTATGCTGAAAAGGTGGGAGAGGTAGGCAGTTGCTCATTGGAACTCTGATCACTGTACATTTTATAAACTAAAAATTTTAATTGCAGTGAAAGCACATGAAATTTACTATCTTAGTCTTTTTTTTTTTTTCTTTTACTTGTACAGCTCACTCTCATTATTTCCTTTACTTCCCTGGAAATGCTCTTGGCCACGTTGGCACTGCTTCTCTCGGTCTTGTTCCTTTAAGGATGCTGCCATGCTCTCTCGTCTAGCTCTCCTCCTTCAGCCACTCTCTGTGCTGTAGCACCTATTTTTTTTTCTGCATATTTCTAGTTTGTGTGCATCGCAGCCTATTTTATTATTATTATTACCTGTTGATATGCTTGTCTCCCTTACCACAGGGTTGGGACCATTGACAGAAGGACCTTTATATTCTAGTTTGTGTTTTTGAAGCCCCAGAATAGTGCTTAGAACATGGTAGATGCCTGAGTGGGAATTACCCTAGGAAGGTTCCAGCTAATGGAAATAGTGTGCGAAAGAGGATGGCCAATCTGGGAAACACGAATTGAGTGGGAATGAGTTGAAGGGACATGGGATGGGACAGAGTAAAATTCCACAGAGTTAAGGCAGGTTATATCCAGAGTCCAGATTGTGGAAGAGGTTATTCCAAGAAGTTAAGTTTTGTTTTATGGAGTTAATGGTTTAGGAAAGTTTCCAAGAAGAATCAGGGCATGGGGGTAGTTCAATTCTGGCAGGCATGTAGAATGTTAGGGAGAGGAAAGGAAGAAGACCTAACAAGGACATGCAAGCCAGAAAGTGTAGGAATGGGAGAAAAGTTTCAGTAAAAAAGTTCTGTTTGTGTGGGATTTTTTTTTCTTTTCTTTTTTCTTTCTTTTTTTTTTTTTTTTTGAGACAGGGTTTCTCTGTGTAGCTTTGGCTGTCCTGGAACTCACTCTGTAGATCAAGATGGCCTCAAACTCAGAGATCCACCTGCCTCTGTCTCCCAAGTACTGGGATTAGAGGTGTGCACCACCACTGTCCGGTTTTGTGTGTTTATTTTTAAACAGAGAGAGTATTTGAGGCTAAGACCCTGCATTAAAAATAAAAGAACTACAAAACAACAAAAAGATTTATAAAGGCCATCTGGATGAGAAAGAAGCTGTCAAAGGCCAGCAGGTATTGAGGAAGGTTTTAAGCTTTGTAGTTTATATAAAGAGGAATGACATTGCTTATGAAGATGAGCAAGGGAAGGTTGGGATAGATAGATCTACATTGAGGATGGAGGTTGCAAGATAGAGAGAAAAACATGGGCTTGGGGTTAGACATATATTAGCTTTCATGTGCTTGTAGCATATGCTAATAAGTTCTAGGGGACAACTGGAAATAATCTGAGGCATAGGAGCAAAGTTAAAGGATAGCAAAAACACTTTAAAGAGTTTTCAGGTGGTGACAGATGAAGCCAAGAGTAAACGGCATGACCCCCGAAAATGCACAGAGAGAGGAGACAACCACAGACATGGCGTGGAGGCCAGTCTTACAGTGCGGACAGGTGGAGGAGCAATAATTTGGATTAGATTGCTGAGGGGTACATAGGGAGGAGAAAAATAAACACAGCCCTGGAAGACAAAGGCTGAGAAGGTTTCAAATGCCACAGAATGCACAAGTCAAATAAGTTGACAGCAGGCCAGTGACACTATAGGTTAGGGGGTCCCTGATGACTGCTCTGAGGACAGGCGTTGAAGAAATGTCGGCTGGCACAATTCTTTTTTTTTTGTGTTTTAAATCGTGTTAGATCAGTGTTCTCAAACATTACTGGTTAAGTCTGTGACATTTTAGTGTATGCAGCCTTGTCTCCCCACCCTTCCACATGCTTTCCTGGGTTGAGAACCATCCCAATGGCATAGAATGCTGCTCCTTTTCTGCCAAAGGTATGAATTCTCCTCTTAGGGAGACTCTTTTGCTTACTCTGTTATCGTTTACTGAAGGAACAATGAGCGCTGCTAACAGAAATTCTAGTGTTTATGAAGGTTTGCAGTCTAGAAGATGTCATCGCTCCCTGGCCAGACACTGCGTGGTATGGCCCTGGCCTGCTTCTCCAGTCTTGTCTTTCATCATCCTCTTGCATATGTCTCTTATCCTAATTAAGTGCTACCTACCGTTTCTAGACTCTCTCCACTCTTTCCTGTTTCTGTGCTTTTATTGAGAGAGGGGATAGCCCTCCATGCCTATGTCAGATTTCAAAATTCCACACATCACTCAGGTCTATTTTAGACATCATCCCCGGTTCATCCATTTGAGGTGGCAAGTGTGTAGAGATAGAGGACAACCAGCTGAGTTGGTTCTTCTTCTACCATCTAGGTTCCAGGGACTGAACTCTGTGATTAGGCTGGGAAGAAAGAACTTCAAGTACTTCTACCAGTGGAGCCACCTCAGCAGTCCAGGGGAAGAATGTTTGAAACAGAAATTCTTGAGGAAAGTAAGATGCACCATCCCTCCACATCCCTCCTCAGCCCTGCACATGCCTCCACATCCTCCTCATCCCTCCACATCCTCCACACCCTCCTCATCTCTCCACATCCTCCTCATCCCTCCACATCCTCCTCACCCTCCTCATCCCTCCACATCCTCCTCATCTCTCCACATCCTCCTCATCCCTCCACATCCCTCCATATCCCTCCTCATCCCTCCACATCCTCCTCATCCCTCCACATCCTCCTCATCCCTCCACATGCCTCCATATCCCTCCTCATCCCCCCTCATCCCTCCACATCCCTCCTCATTTCTGTACATCCCTCCTCATC